CCTAGTGTTTCACAATCTCCATATGAATACAACCATAGTGGTTTACAATCCCCATATGAATACAACCATGGTGTTTCACAATCTTCATATGAATACAACCATAGTGGTTTACAATCCACATATGAATACAACCATAGTGCTTCACAATCTCCATATGAATACAACCATAATGGTTTACAATCTGCATATGAATATGAATACAGCCATAGTCTTTCACTATAGTTTCATAGTGAGTATACAAGTATAGTGGTTTACAATCCCCATATGAATACAATCATGGTGTTTCACAATCTTCATATGAATACAACCATAGTGGTTTACAATCCACATATGAATACAACCATAGTGTTTCACAATCTCCATATGAATACAACCATAGTGTTTCACAATCTCCATATGAATACAACCATTATAGTGGTTTACAATCCCCATATGAATACAACTATAGTGGTTTACAATCTGCATATGAATACAACCGTAGTGGTTCACAATCTGCATAATGAATACAACCATAGTGGTTCACAATCCCCATATGTATACAACCATAGTGTCTCACAATCACATATGAATACAACCATAGTGTTTCACAATCCCAATATGAATACAACTATAGTGTTTCACATCTCGATATGAATACAACCATAGTGGTTTACAATCTCCAAATGAATACAACCATAGCGGTTTACAATCTCCAGATGAATACAACCAGTGTTTCACAATCTCCATATGAATACAAACATAGTGGTTTACAATCTGCATATGAATACAACTATAGTGTTCCACAATCTCTATATGAATACAGCCATAGTGTTTCACAATCCCCATATGTATACAACCATAGTGTTTCACAATCACATATGAATACAACCATAGTGCTTCACAATCCCCATATGAATACAACTATTGTGTTTCACATCTCCATATGAATACAACCATAGTGTTTCACAATCCCCATATGTATACAACCATAGTGTTTCACAATCCCAATACGAATACAACTATTGTGTTTCACATCTCCATATGAATACAACTAGTGTTTCACAATCTCCATATGAATACAACCATAGTGGTTTACAATCCCCATATGAATACAACCATGGTGTTTCACAATCTTCATATGAGTACAACCATAGTGGTTTACAATCCCCATATGAATACAACCATGGTATTTCACAATCTTCATATGAATACAACCATAGTGGTTTACAATCCACATATGAATACAACCATAGTGCTTCACAATCTCCATATGAATACAACTAGTGTTTCACAATCTTCATATGAATACAACTAGTGTTTCACAATCTCCATATGAATACAACCATAGTGGTTTACAATCCCCATATGAATACAACCATGGTGTTTCACAATCTTCATATGAATACAACCATAGTGGTTTACAATCCACATATGAATACAACCATAGTGCTTCACAATCTCCATATGAATACCACCATAGTATTTCACAATCCCCATATGAATACAACCATAATGGTTTACAATCTGCATATGAATATGAATACAGCCATAGTCTTTCACTATAGTTTCATAGTGAGTATACAACCATAGTGGTTTACAATCCCCATATGGATACAATCATGGTGTTTCACAATCTGCATATGAATACAACTATAGTGGTTTACAATCTGCATATGAATACAACCGTAGTGGTTCACAATCTGCATAATACAACCATAGTGTTTCACAATCTCCATATGAATACAACTATAGTGGTTCACAATCCCCATATGAATACAACTATAGTGGTTTACAATCTGCATATTAATACAACTATAGTGGTTTACAATCTCCAGATGAATACAACCGTAGTGGTTCACAATCTGCATAATACAACCATAGTGTTTCACAATCTC